TCCATACCTTTCCATCAATTTTCAGAGTAGGTTATTGACTTAGATGTTAGATATCCCTGGCATGAAACCAAATTGGTTCTATGGAAACGTTGAATACACCCTAATATTAATCACCATTCCCTAATTTATAGTACAACTACTAAGCTTGACATTTGTCCGTTCATCCATCATCTACTTGCACATCAAGATCTAATAATTTTATTGTGATGCTCATACAGAGGAAATTGTTTTCAAAGAGTTCATAGCTCTAGTTTGGCTGTTCTAATTTGTTAAATAAACAGGGTAAAATTGATTATTGAGGAAATTGAGAGAGAAGAAACAGAATGGAGGGAGGATCTATATTCGTCTGATAGAAAATTTGCAGAGTATTACAATGTAAGCAAGAACTCCATAGAATCTTTTGATGATGCAGTATCCTTTTACTTTTTCTCTGGTTAATTCTTCTCATGTACAATACAATTATGTAATAAAGTCTCATTATGTTTTGCTAACATCTTTACTTGTGATTGTATGTGACCTTTTAACCTTTGTCTGTCCAAGGTTCTAGAGCAGATTCTTGGGGTGCTTATCAAACTTGTCAAGGATATAAAACTGCAACACCAACATAAATATGTAAGCCTCATAACCCCTGGTTGTCTTTAGCCCTCATAGTGCACTGTTTCCGTGTAACTGTACTAAAAAATTTAGTTTACAATTGATTGAAGCTGTATCAGATAATTTCATGCTATCTTTGCCTTGACGCTGCTTATGTTTGTAATAGGATGAACTGCAAAAGACTTGGCTGTGCAAAAGATGTGAGACAATGAGTGCTAAATTGGGGTCTGTCTTCCCCACTGCTGTTTTCTGTTTTCTATTTATATATCTTATAATTGACATTGGGAATTCAGTTATGTTTGTTCTTTAGTGAGCACTTGGTTTATTAAAACACTTGCTATAATTTATAATAACTTTGGATTCGTCTTCTTCCAGGGTTCTAGAACATATTCTCCTGCTTGAAACCTATACTCCAGAAACCATTCCGGCACTCCACAAAATAAGGTAAAAGAATATGTACCTTTATATCCACATTTAAGCCCGTTTGATATATTTTTTTNTTATTATTATTATTATTATTATTATTATTATTATTATTATTATTATTATTATTTACAGAATTTCATGTTTGGTATTTTGAGTGAACAATATAGCTAGCAACTTTATTTATATGACTTTTGCACTTTTGCTTAATATTTCTCTCTTCTAATTTTTTATTTTTTATTTTTTTTAAGAAAGAGATATATAAATCTTGTAGTTTGAAATTGAAGCCTCAGTTTTTGAGATTTGGTTTTTCCTCTTGGGACAAAAATGTGCTTCCTATTATTTACGTCAATGGAGGGCTCCAAATTATCAAAATTTTCTTGTTCTGATCATATGCAGTAATCATATTTTTTAGGCATATTAGTAGTACACCCACAACAAACTAAGGTTCATTCCTAATAAGCCTGAGAATTGTTCCAAGATTCATTCTTCTACACTTTTTTTTAATTTTAATAAAGAGCTACTTCTTTGGAAAAGCCAACTAAATGAAATCTTCTGCTTCATCCGGCCATGTTAGTTTTAATACCCATTGTGATTGGGAGTTTTTTCAGGCCCATATGCCTACGTCAACCATCTATGTTGTCATTCACTTAATTTGCATCTGCTTATTAGTGTATATTCTTATTTTTTACTTTGTCATTCTAGAATGACCCTTCTCTATGCTCATCTTGTGGACATTTTGTTCTTCAATGAATCAATACTCAATAGTACGAGTATTGTTGGCCTGATAACCATTTTTTAGAAATTGATTATTATCTTCCACAATATCTTTTGAACATTTATTCATCCAACCAGTTGTACTCCTATAAATGACATCTCTTCAGTCCTCCATTCTTTGTTAATAATCGAACATAAGTACCTAAAATAATCACTTTTTGGAAGGACACTCTTCTTGTCGAATCAACAATCATCCTTATTCCTACTATGACAAAAAGGAAATTTGGGGTATTCTAAATTACTTGATACTCAATCTATGATCCTTAAATTCTGAAGTGCTCCTTTGTAACTCTAATTTACGAATTAGCCCTCTCCTACTCTTGTTGGCTGAAACTACGTTATCAAGGAATTACACACCCGTAACTACATCTTGGTATGCTTGTTTATGTCCTAAGCAAAAGAATAAGGAATTATGATGGGGCCTCAGTACAAGCCTATTGTAATAGAAAGTTACCTACTACTACATTTTTTTTTAATCCCTAATGATACTGATATATTTGGCAGAAGTTTTTGTTTTCTCTGACATTCACCATAGGTCCATAGCATTGCCTAAGAAACCCC